ACTGTAGCTTGATACACACGTCCTTTCAGATTCAGGGATAAACCATTCTGACGCCATAGGCGTCTCAATTTCGCAAACGCGGCCCGAGCGTTGCAGATTCGTGCATTCACCTCATCTGTCACACTACGATCAGAACTAATACAACTTCCAAGGTATGTAAAACGCTCCACAACTTCCAGTACCTCTCCCTGGATCGTAAGGTCGTGTTCAGTGACTGCACGTCCACAAGCATGACCTTACACTTTGTGGGTGCAAAGTGCATATCAAAGGACGGGATGACTTTGGTCAGTTCATCCAAGAATACTTGCGCCTTCTCCGTCTCTTCGAACATGAGAACGATGTCGTCTGCATATTCCAGATCGACAAGGTTTTCTTCATTGGCTATTTGAACACCAGGGTTTTGGAGACCCTCCAGCTTTCGTCTCATTATTTCATCGATCACAAAGTTGAAAAGTAATGGAGAGAGTGGGCATCCCTGACGGACACCGCTTTGTGTGCGGAAGCTTTTGGAGAGCTCTCCGTACACTCTCACACGTCCGGAAGTCTGAGAATACAAAGAACGTATTGTGTTTTCAAACTTCTGGGGCATTCGTTGGTGGGCAAGCGTCTCAAGAAGAACAGACCAATCAACCGAGTCGAATGCGCCTCGGAAATCCAGGAATACTAGAATCGTGGGTCGCTTATACGTATGGCGTTGTTCTAGCACCTGACGCAGTGTGAAGATTTGGTCAACACAACCCCTACCAGACCGGAATCCTGCTTGCTGCTCTCGAGTCAGTATTTCACGAGCCACCGTAAGGCGACGAATCACAATTGACGCCAACAGTCTCGTTACAACCGGGGTCAAGCTGATCTCCCTGCGGTTAGCACACTCACTACGCGCCCCTTTTTTGAAAATGGGCACTACTACCGATTCTCCCCAGTTGTCTGGGACAGACTCCTTTTCCCAAATGCAAGCAAACAAGTCGGACAGGCGCTGACTGAGGACTTCACCCCCGTCTTTGAACAGTGCAGGTGGGAGGTCATCCGGACCGGGAGCTCGGTGGCGCTTGAGAGAACATATGCAGTCGTAAACCTCCGAGGCCGTAGGTGGTTCCACGTTCACCGTCCAGGGTTCTAATTCACCTGTGGGCTGCAGATGAGTGCTGGCTGGTGGCCAAGACATTTGTTGCTCAAAGTATTCAACCCAAATGCAGAATGCAGCATTCAAAGTGTACGTAACGGCGATATCCAGGAAATTCGGATGCTCACCGGAGGTAATATCAGTAACCAGAGTCAAAAAGATACTGGAAACCGATCGGCCTTTGGATACATGCTTTCCACCAACACGCAGACAAAAGACCCGTTTTCTGACCAATCACATAAGAGCAAGGCCTATTGGCCGTCGTAGAGTCCGAATGTGAGTATTGAGGAGATTTTGATGTAGGTTGCACAAGATTGATCCTTATACAGCATATTTAATATACACAAAATGGCTACGCTGAGCTAAAAAACGCGTAAAAAATATCGTATTTTGCTGTATGTGTAGTGTCTGTAATTTACCATTATTCCTAAACATGAACCACACTTTGTAACTGTCGTTCACATTGTATCATGGCGTTTGTTTTAATGTTACGAATACACAATTTTCCGGCGCGACCTGCGGATTTCTTGCTGAACGAGTGCATTTATGCTCCATTGGACGGCTCGTTGACTGTTGAACCAGTGGGACTAAATCTGTGTTTGTGTCAACTGTTGAGCGTCACAATAAATCCCTGTGACATTTTTTAGCCATGAATAATTCTCCTATCGTGGAATATATCACGCACGCGGAACCGTCCGTGGGAAATTCAGACAAGGGAATATTTCCTCTCACAGTCAGTTACTGCATTTGGATCAGTGTAGTGGACTATTGGATCTACATATTCGTGAGTCCCCATTTGACTACACATACCTTTCCTATTGTGGTTTTGTGATTTTGTATTGGTCACTTTTGCTTGTTAATTTATCCGAACACGCTGATAAGGTCATAGTCCGCTACATAATTGGTGACCCTTAATCATTCCTTATTGTTTTCTCTGCAGTACTCTCGTGCTTTATTATACTTATTTTCCACGTCATCATGGCTTCTGAACAGACACAGACACCCGAAATAGACAAAGTTGTTTACGTTAAGTTGCCTGAATTCAGCGTCGCATTACCTCGCGGAGCAGCAGATACAATTATATGGTAGGATGCTTACCAGACTTCGTTGCCCGAGAAATCTCTGATTTAATATACACCCGACCGTCCACCGATCCACACGATGCTCTCAAAGCAACTATTTTTTCTCCTACCGCTTCCAGCGATGAGCAGAATCTGCGGAAGCTTCTCTCCGGTGTTGACGTGTACGATGCTCTCAAAACAGCTATTAATTATCACACCGCTTCCAGCGATGAGCAGATGAGATGAGCTTCCTGCGGAAGCTTCTCTCCGTTGTTGGCGTCGGCGATAAAACACCGTCACAACATCTCCGCCACATGATGCGGTTTTGAAAGAACTTTGGCAACAAAACCTGCCCATCGAAGTCCGTAAATCATTTCTGTAATCGAACAGGACTCTTCCTTGGCGAAGCTAGCCGAGGTGGCTGACCGTGTCTATGAAACCTACAGACAATTCGTGGTCTCTAACGTTCAGCAACAGTCCAGTTCGCAATCTAACCTGGAGTTCGAGTTCAATGCAATGAAAGCTCAATGTTCTGAGTTATCCCTCCAACTGAATGAAGTCACCAAACTCATTGGTCGCCCTCAACGACACAGACGATCTAGGTCTCGATCCCACAGTCGTGCTCCCAAGCACAGTGACCAACCTGGCTGGTGCTACTACCACCGTCGCTTGGGCGACCGCGCTCTCCGATGCACCAGACCTTGCACTTTCCCCACAAAACCTTCGAATTCGGGAAACGCCATGGACGGCCAGTAATGGCGACCAATGCAACCGGCTCCTCTACCTGTCGCCTGTTCTTCGTATTTGACCGCTCCACATCCTTGAATTTCCTCATCGATACCGGTGCTGAGGTAAGTGTAATTCCTCCTACACGCAAGCATAACCTACAGCCGGCGTCATATACTATGCAGGCGCCCAGCTTTGCCGGATAACCGTTACACAGCACTGCTTCGTCAATTTCCAGAGATCCTGAAACCTGCTTCCAAGACCACTTCCGTAATACATGATGTTTTCCACCATATCTCGACAAAAGGCTCACCCACCGCATCCCTCCCGCGACGGTTAGCTCCGGAAAAGCTTGCCATAGCCAAGACCGAATTCCAGCATTTGTTTCAACTGGGTATCATACGACCGTCATGCAGCCCCTGGTCATCTCCACTGCATATGGTCCCCAAAAAGTCCGAGGGAGATTGGAGACCATGTGGCGATTATCGCGCACTAAATCGTGCCACTACCCCGGACAAATACCCAATTCCGCGTCTGCATGGTTTTGCCTTTACTCTTCACGGCAAATATGTCTCCAGTAAATTAGACCTTGTCAGAGCATACCACCAGATACCTGTCGCTCCATACGATGTTCCCAAAATTGCTATCACAACTCCATTCGGTCCATATGAATTCGTTCGTATGCCATTTGGGCTCAGAAGTGCAGCTCAAACATTTCAACGATTCATGGATCAAGTTTTACCGGATTAGTCTTCGTCTACGCTTATACCGACGATGTACTTATCGCCAGTCGGTCCAAAGACGAGCATGTACTTCATTTAAAGCAAGTTTTTGAAAGCTTTCAGTAATATAGTATAGTCATCAATAGTAGTAAACGCCAATTTGGTGTTTCGTCACTAGAAATTCTAGGACATATTGTTGACTCGGATGACATTCGTACACTGCCATCTAAAGCTTCCGCCATTTGCGACTTTCCAGCTCCCAACAGCATTAAAAAGTTAAGACTTTTCTTTGGCTTTATCAGTTGCTACCGTCGCTTTATCCCTAATTGTGCCGCGGTTTTCCAACCGCTCACCGACCTACTCAGATTGAAACCTCGCAACTTCCCCCCACAGCGGAGGCCACTGCGTCATTTGAAACAGTTAAGGAAGTGTTAAATCAGGCAACTAATTTGGCACATATAATTCCTGATCCATCTACATCTCTTTTCCTGGTTACTGATGCCTCACAAACCGCAGTTGGTGCAGTTCTACAGCAGGAGGTCAACGGTAAAATACAGCCCTTATCATTCTTTTTGCATCGCTTTCAACCTGCACAGACTCGATATAGCACTTTTGGCCGTGAACTGCTCGCAATCTACTTAGCTGTTGGGCACTGCCGAAATATTTTGGTAAGCCAACACTTCGTGATTCTCACAAATCATAAACCGCTCACTTTTGCACTCAACGCGACGTCTGATCGTTATTCACCGAGAGAGACCAGGCAGTTGGATTATATCAGCCAATTCACTGGTGACATCCGGCGTATTAGTGGTCGCAGCAATTTAGTTGCAGATGCTTTATCCCGTGCCCATGTCAACCACTTGGTACACGCTCCGTTTGATCTGCAATTAATAGCTGAAAGCCAAAAGCATGACAAAGAATTACAAGAGCTTAGATCACAACCTCCCCTGGAGTTCGTTTATATGCCGCTCTTAAACCGTGATTCTAAAATTCTGTGTGACATGTCCACCGGTAAACCTCGTCCATTTGTGCCTCAGAAATATCGTCGGTCGGTCTTTACGCATTTCCACTCTATTTCACACCCGAGTATCCGCTCAACCGCTCGATTAATTTGTGGACGTTTCCTGTGGCCTGGTATGCAAAAGGAGATCCGACAATGAGCAAAACAGTGCAAAACCTGTCAATTGAGTAAAGTTCACAAACACACGGTTACGCCTACACTGCCATCTAAAGCTTCCGCCATTTGCGACTTTCCAGCTCCCAACAGCATTAAAAAGTTAAGACTTTTCTTTGGCTTTATCAGTTGCTACCGTCGCTTTATCCCTAATTGTGCCGCGGTTTTCCAACCGCTCACCGACCTACTCAGACTGAAACCTCGCAACTTCCCCCCACAGCGGAGGCCACTGCGTCATTTGAAACAGTTAAGGAAGTGTTAAATCAGGCAACTAATTTGGCACATATAATTCCTGATCCATCTACCATCTCTTTTCTGGTTACTGATGCCTCACAAACCGCAGTTGGTGCAGTTCTACAGCAGGAGGTCAACGGTAAAATACAGCCCTTATCATTTTTTTTTCATCGCTTTCAACCTGCACAGACTCGATATAGCACTTTTGGCCGTGAACTGCTCGCAATCTACTTAGCTGTTGGGCACTGCCGAAATATTTTGGTAAGCCAACACTTCGTGATTCTCACAAATCATAAACCGCTCACTTTTGCACTCAACGCGACGTCTGATCGTTATTCACCGAGAGAGACCAGGCAGTTGGATTATATCAGCCAATTCACTGGTGACATCCGGCGTATTAGTGGTCGCAGCAATTTAGTTGCAGATGCTTTATCCCGTGCCCATGTCAACCACTTGGTACACGCTCCGTTTGATCTGCAATTAATAGCTGAAAGCCAAAAGCATGACAAAGAATTACAAGAGCTTAGATCACAACCTCCCCTGGAGTTCGTTTATATGCCGCTCTTAAACCGTGATTCTAAAATTCTGTGTGACATGTCCACCGGTAAACCTCGTCCATTTGTGCCTCAGAAATATCGTCGGTCGGTCTTTACGCATTTCCACTCTATTTCACACCCGAGTATCCGCTCAACCGCTCGATTAATTTGTGGACGTTTCCTGTGGCCTGGTATGCAAAAGGAGATCCGACAATGAGCAAAACAGTGCAAAACCTGTCAATTGAGTAAAGTTCACAAACACACGGTTACGCCCATTCTTCCTGAACTTGAACCACACTTTGTAACTGTCGTTCACATTGTATCATGGCGTTTGTTTTAATGTTACGAATACACAATTTTCCGGCGCGACCTGCGGATTTCTTGCTGAACGAGTGCATTTATGCTCCATTGGACGGTTCGTTGACTGCTGAACCAGTGGGACTAAATCTGTGTTTGTGTCAACTGTTGAGCGTCACAATAAATCCCTGTGACATTTTTTAGCCATGAATAATTCTCCTATCGTGGAATATATCACGCACGCGGAACCGTCCGTGGGAAATTCAGACAAGGGAATATTTCCTCTCACAGT